TCTTTCATATTATCATCAACAGACACTTCGCTTATATTTTCAATGTCGATATCTTCATCACTTACAATCTTCTCATCTTCAGGACAAATTATATTGTCATTATCACTACCCATCGCGTTTGTCATGTGATTAGAAGTTTGCATTTTCTCGTCTCGCTCAACGTCGTCATTGATACTAGAAGACCCATATTGTGAAACATTCTTTCTAATTGATTTTGTATTATTGGCTTTATAATATTCATAAAGAGAGCTATTAGGAATTATGGGTTCTACATATTTAGGTAGTGAGAGTTGATTTCTATACATTTTTCTTTTTATAAAGAATTGAGATAATGCTGCGGTCAGGAAAGCAATTTTGAAATATGATTCGAGCTTACTGGTCATGTTACGTCACACACAAGAGTATCAAAAAAGCTTGTAACAACGAGAAAATTTTCTTTGAATTATTCGAAATCGATTACTTCGAGTAAGGATATTTCTTAAGAAGAACAGATATAATATCGAGTAGAATTCGATTCCACTTATCTCTGAACGCTCTTGTTTATAAAACAAATTGATGAAATCATCGTATAATCGATAATTTAGTCTATGAACAAGGTTTGATTTTTTAGTTTCTTTCACGCCAATTATGATATGAAAAGTGCAGAGATTGTTTTGTTATAATTCTAAAAGAAATCATCCAAAATTTTCAACTTGGATTTCTTTACAAAGTCACTATGATGGAATAATGAATAAAGCTTTTTCTTTTATTATCGAAATAAAGTAATGACTGGTTATAATAAATAAATGTATATATATTTATAAGGTTAAACTTCTTTATCAAAAATCAAATTTATCGATTATAATCCTTCATGCTCTTTTTTCCTTCGACTATTAATTTTATTTTTGACCGAAATTTGGATCCGTTGGACCATTTTTATCAAGTGCTACGCCAAGATATACAGGAAATCTTGGAGAGCCCTCTTTTGTGAGTTCTTGGCATCTGTATATGATTATACTCCCTATCGGTGGAGGATTGGCACGGTCATGATCATTCATTCCTGAACCAACTTTAAATTCTTTTCCGCAAGCCATCTCACATCGAAGAGCTCCACATTGTCTTAAATATTTACCTTTACCAGGTTCATGAGCTATAACAATAGCTTCACCATCATGGAAAGTTTTAACCTAAGATAAAGTAAATGAATGAATGAACCGCAGAACTATGCATTAAAAAAAAGTTTTATTTTCAAAAGTTTTAAATACCTTTAATAAAGTTTTTGACCGACCCGTTTCGTATAAACTACCTGGTTTACGAAGCATGAGTCCTTCGCCACCCAATTTTTCAACTCGTTCAAGTTCATCGTAAACATCCCCTTCGGATTTGACGAGTCTTTGCTTAACCATTCTCGCATATTTTGGCCTATTTATAAAATCGACAACTAGTTAGAATTTAAAACGCTGGGTAATTCTAAATGTAAAACAGATTTATATTACTTGTTTTCCTCGATCATCTTTTCCAAAAAATTCATGCGTTTCTCAAAGGGAATGCGACCCAAGGTTGGAACATCAAAGATCTACTTAATATTTATTATTATTCAATAAAGGTTAAAAAAAAAAAAGATTTTAATAAAATGTTTGAAATAAATACCTCATAACTTATATTTTTCCATTCTTTATCACCAGCTTTCACAATACTTATTGTAGATTGAAATGTTCCTCTACCACCAAAAAGTTCACCATCGAGATCTCGGTCTCTTGGAATTCCATCAGTAAACCTATATAATGAACATACGGATGTAAGTAAATCTCATAAAATAAATAATTGTAAAATAGCTTAATTGTAATTACCAGGAAGGAGCCACGAACTCATTTCCATTTCTTGAATAAAATTTTTCACTTTTAGAATTCCAAAATGCTCTTACACCGTCAAGTTTTTCTGAGACCCACCAACCGGTTGGGTCAACTTCATCAGGTTTCCAAGAAAAGGCCAAAACCACATCAACGGAATTTCCTTTCATGATCGACATTGGAGGTGTTGACAAACTCCTATCTTTATTTCCATTTTTCGAGTGTTTGCAGTTTCGCTTTTCTTCTTTTGTTTCCTTTGAACAAATAATTTTAGTAAATTTAAAATATAATGAGATGATTATAAAATAACATGTCAAATGACTTTATTACCTTTATCCACTCTGAACAAGCGCGTGTGCTCTTTTTAATACCATGAGAAATTTCAACGTCTTGGGAGGGGACGGAGTTGTCTTGCCCCTCATCAAGCAAATTTTTAGCGACATTCTTGGGTGAACCTAAGGTGTCATCATTTTTCAATGGAACATCGGTGTCACTCATTTCAACGTCATCTTCACGTAAAGTAGAATCGGTTTGATAACTACTATCCACTTTATCTTCCTCAATATCGGTCCTTTGCTTCTTTTGCTCACGTTTAGGTGAATACGAAACCTGAACTCTCTCATTCTCGAAATTGTCATCAGATGAGTCAGATGAATCATCATAATCAAGCTCTTGTGGTCTTCTAGCGCCTCTATATCCAGATGCCCTTTTAGCCGCAAGCATCGAAGCCATACTATCCTTGGCTTGCTCCTTGGTCTCATGTTCTTTACTTGTTTCCATTCCTTTTGCACCGATCGAACCGGTTCGGATAAAGGTCGTTTTGTAAACACGTCTCATTTGCCAAAATCTATGATATCTGTGAGATTCCAGATAAACTAATTCTCTTTGATTTCTATTTTCGGAATTGTCATCGCTTCTAGATCTTTTGTGACCGGCTTTAGCCGTTTCCATCTTTCCAAGAACTTTCATCCACTTTTCTTCGCTGATAACCCTCACACCAATGCTCTTTGCTTTTTGAATTATTTGTCCACCGTCTTTTCCACATACGAGGAAAGTCGTAGACTTTATTACAAATTTTACAACTTTATACCCATTCGTTTGAGCTCTAGCTTCGTGAGCTTCACGAGTGTCTAGTTTAAAAGTACCCGTAAATGCAACAGTTAATACCATTTTAAGTAATTTTTTTTTAGGTAAGGATGTGGTTGGAGGGAAAGGAAGGGAAACCGGTAGGTAGCGTCAAAAGTTTTTGGCGATACTTTTATAATCGTCAATAAACGTGTACGACCTGATAATGATGAAGTATTTGACACACATCAACCGCAGAATTGTCAAAAACTTTGCCTCAAACCCCAATAAAGGGGGCAAATGACTGACACACAGGAGCCGGAATTTGAATACAAACAAATATAAACATTGTTTAATGGGTTAATTGGTTGAATAAGAGATCGTCATCATTATTAATTATTAATCAACAGAACAATCTTGGCACTAACGCACAGTATCAGAAACCTTTGTTCCCTACTTTGTAGATAATTAATTATTAATTGATTTACAATTAGAATAATTAGAATCCAAGTTGGAAATGACGAACAAAATAAGACATCATAGTGCAATGATAAATTCACATACTACGTTGATTTGAGGAGTTATTATTTATTGATTTTTTTTTTTAAACTTTGGCTACATTATTTACTGTTTAGCTTGTATATGAAGAAAATTTTAAGGTAATAAATAATATACGCACTACCAAAATCGAGATTTTTTTTGCAATGCCTTCCTGACGATCCCTAACGTTTTATGTTTGTTTAAAGTGTGTCCGATTCCTAACGTTTATAATGTATATATTGTTTGAAGTAAATAGTAAATAATTAAATCGTTTCAAAGGTTTTCCTAATTACAAAATGTCCAGAGAACGATCGAAAGTATAATCGGATAGCAAACCAACCTATCATATAATTTTAGTAAGGGAATTGATGGATTGAGAATTTCTGATTTTTTTGGGGGATGAGTTTTTTATTTATTTTTCGTTTAAAAGTCGGTTAAAATTTAAAAGTGTACAGCGAACAAATGCTACGTTTTTCCGTTATTAAATTGTATTCGTCTAAGTAATAAAGAATTTTTATTCCATGAAATTTTTTCTTGAATCTAATTTTATATTTATTTATTTTTTGGTTAAAGTATCGAAATATATAAAGAGCAAACATTAAAAGCTAAAAAAAAAAAAAAATATCCATTCTATTTTAAACACGAACCACCTGAAAAACCTCGTAATCTACGAATTGAAAACCACCCGGTTCGTCCCTTAAATTGATCTCGTATGAATCTTGTCGATGATATCCAAAATTCTCTAAACATTGATAAGGAATATTAAACCTCGTTGAATGAGCAACCTTAGGAGTAATCCATAGGTCCGTTGTACCAAAACATGGACCGCACTCTCTACAATTATGAATAAATTCCCACACACATAATGAACTAATCCTTCCCATATTATTCCGATCACCCTTGTTGAACGAAAACAAGAAAGCATCAGTTTGTTCGAATAAAGTAATGATAGCTTTATCATTAGGTGCAGTTGCGACATTACCATCGCTTGAAGTCGCTATTGGAGAAAAATCAACAGGTTCACTATTAGAT